GTGTGTCATGACCCACAGGAACACCATTAATTTCCAACCCATCTCCCGTATATCAGCCAGCAGCGTGCCATGAATAATTCAACATTCCACAAAAAGTATATCCCGCACCAGACCGGATAAACATACGCACGACACAGTTCCGGACTCTTCTGCTTCTGCATCGCTCCGTTTCTGGTGAAACTAGCTCAAAGTCATAGAAACTTTGCTGATTAATAACTCAACCAGCCAACCTTACCCTTCAACATCGATAAAAGCATATTTATACCAGTAGGTTGAATGGGGCTTGTACGTCTTGATTTTTTACTCTCCTGTTAAAAAAATGCTAGGGGAGAGAGGAAAACATAAAATCTGCTGTTTTACACATTTATTCGGCTTGTTGAAGTAGGTACATTTCAGATTCAGTGTTCCAACCGTGAAGATTGGTGGTTATATTTTGGATCTCTGTTCCATTGCGTGTCCAATTCGGCAAGCAATGGCTTCAAGTAAATGGCGTCAAATAGGTTTACTGTGTACTGCCTAAGCAACGCTGTCATCAATCCATAAAAGGTTTTCCTGGATACAAGTTAGTCCCTCTTAAAAGAAATTTGGATCCGAACTTGTATAACAAAGTAACTAAATGGATCGTGTCAGTCAAACAGGCTAGATTTGATAACCTTGCGATGCAGCCTACCGCCCTACCAATAGTACCGACTACCCAACAACGTGGAAACGGAGCACGGCGATGCATACCCGGATATACACGCATCATCGCTCGGTGTCAGTTTCCAGTTATCCCTCCGCACGCCTATATCGAAGATATATCTCCATCGTTCAAGTTTTAAGGGGAAACACGATGAATGACATATATCTCATAGGTATGTAGAATTTCCGAGATTGGAAACGTATGAATTGTTAACATTAAAAAAAATTACACATGGTCTTCCTCACCCTCCTACAATTCTCAGCATCCAATTTTCAACCGCTGCAAATTTTTTTCTGTAAATGATCTGGATCCTCTGAAACGTCAAAGAACGGAGAGCGATTTTTTTTTGTTTTGCGTGTAGCTCCGCCGCCACTGGACCGATATTCAAAAACGGACAACGGAAATTCATATGTCTCTTAGAAAATGGTATACCAAACTTTTGCACTATTCAATTCTTTATTTGTGTTAAGTACACCAGCGTGTTTACACAAGTCAAAAGAAAAACAAAATTAATACAAAAAAGCAGTCTGACAAAAGACTGATGTTCAAATTACACAGAAAAACATCAACTTATGACATTATGATTCAATAAAAACAGATACAGTCCATAAAACTTGTAAAAACAGGAGGACATATATACGTACATAGATACACGCATATTCATTTAACCACAATATGTTTACTTCTACACACACACACGCACACATACATATATACACACATATACGTTAAAATGGTACGACATATGAAATGTTGATATAAAAATTTACCAGATGACTTAGTAGAAAGTTCAACGAGCCTAGAGGATCCCAGGTGTAGGAACACTGTTGTATTTGCTAACAATCCAACAAGTCTAAAAAATTGTTGCTCAAATACTCGTTGATCGAGTAAAATGCTTTAGTAGTCAGATAAGCATTAACTTTATTTTTAAAAACTTTCGCATCCAGTTTCTTTATACGGTCTGGCAACAGGTTATAAAAAACTATCCCATAATAGTTTGTGCCGTTCCTGGTGGTTTGGAGACGGCTATGAGGTACTAAGATTTTATCCATATTTCTGGTTCTATAACTGTGGACATCACTGTGGGTAGTATATTGGCTCAGGTTAGTCTTTATATACATCGGACATGTGAAGATGTAAAGAGAAGGTACTGTCATGATTTTCAATTCTATAAAAGCTTCCTTGCAAGGTTCCGTGTATTTGAGGCCAGCAATGTACCGCAAGCAACGTCGTTGTAATCCAAAAACTTTTGACGAATAGGCCGAGTGACCCCAGTTTAACAATGCGTATGAAATTCTTGATTGAAAGTACGAATAATATGTTAGAAGGAGAACTGACTGAGAGACATTTTGTTTCAAGTTCCTTATCAAATATATATATTTTGCTAGTGCATTGAGAACATGGATTACGTGAGTTTCCCACGACAAGTGTTCATCAAGGTAGACTCCTAGTAACTTCACGGACTTTAGTGTATTAGTGTCGTGCTGCCTCAAGCTAAGAATAATCATCTGAGACTTGGTTTCATTGATGGTCAACTTATTAGCGGTTAACCAGTTTGCTAGTTTTCTTTTATGAGCTTGAGAGTCGAATATCAATGAGGCTAAAGAGGCATTGCTATTCATCAAGGTAGTGTCATCAGCGAATAGGATTACGTTATTATTCACATTATAGTTAGTTATATCATTGACGTAAATTAAAAATAAAATAGGTCCCAATACCGAGCCTTGCGGTACCCCGTGAGCAGCGACTAACTGTGAGGATGATGAACCTTTAAAGAATACAAATTGGCGTCGATTACTCAAGTAAGATTTAATCATTGCAGTGGATGTTTCATGAAAGTTATAAAAAGGGAGCTTTCCCAACAGGATGTCGTGTTGAACACAATCAAAAGCTTTGGACAAGTCCAACAAACATGCTGCGCCATATAGGTTGTTTTCAAAAGTCTCGTTCACAAACTGAATAAAACTGTTAATAGCTGATGTGGTGGAACTATTTTTCCTAAAACCAAACTGTGTTGAGCAAAATAGATTATTAGCCTCAAAGTATTCATTAATTTGATCTTTCAACAATAATTCCAAAATTTTCGCAAAAATAGGCATCAAGAAAATGGGCCTGTAGTTGCATAACTCTTCAGTATCCCCTTGTTTGAAAATGGGTATAATTTTAGATAGTTTGAAAAAATCCGGAAAAGTATTACTTTCTATACACTGATTGAATAACTTGGTTAGAGGATATATGATGAGATTTTGCAAGGTTTTGACAATCCTGACAGTATATGACCATATGGGTCAGTACTCTTTGAGTTTTTTAGTTTATTTATGGCAGTTCTCGCATCATGATATGAAACTTCCCTGAATCGAAAGTGTGAACTATGAGTAGGATAATTCATATAATGCGATGGAGGAACATCGGATGGGGTAATTTTATTTAAAAGTTTTTGTGCGATATGGGTAAAAAAGTCGTTGAATTGATGTGCTGTGAGAGATGTTGAGGAGTCCTGGTTGTGCACGTTCGGTTTAACATTCTTTATGATATTCCAAGCAGCATGTTGTCTGTTGTTGGATTTATTAATGTAGTCATCATTGGCTTTAATCTTAGCTTTGACAATTTCTTGTCTGTAACTGTATTTAAATTGTTTCAAGCAGTCCGTACTGACTAAAGTAACATCGTCTTTATGAAGCTCTGTTAGGAAAGTCAAAGTCTCTCTCCTATTTCTTATATGATCATTGAACCAATACACATTACAGGAGCTTTTATTATCATTAACAAGTCGCGATTTTATAGGAAGATGTTGATTGACCGAAATTCTGACAATGGATATGAATTTTTCAATTTTATATTCGATTGTCGTACTTTTTTCATTAACAAATTCGAAAGATGTTGATTCCATATCATTGTAAAGTTTGAAAAGGCCGCTGTTTGTTATAGGTCTATAATAGAGTTTCCTACGTACTTTCGGTGCATGTGATAAATTAAAAGTATAGTCAAGCGCTAAATGATCTGAATAATGAGTATCAAAAACATTAACGCTAATTTCTGAGTCTACGTAGTTTATGAAGATGTTATCTAGACAACTTGAGTTTCTTGTATTTTGACTAACTATTGGCATGAAACCATAACAACTAAATAAGTTCACAAGCTCCTGAGCTTGGTGTTGTAACGTATTAAATCTAACATTAAAATTTCCTGTTATCACAATTTGCTTGCGGTAATCGAGTCCATCCAATAAACGACAAAGTTTCATAATAAAGTATTCAAAATTACCATCAGGAGATCGATACAGTGAGATTAACTGAAGATCATTCACATTTACTCCGGCCGCCTCAAACTGTAGTTCTTCTGACAGATTCAGAAGGTTATCTGATAGAGGTACGGCACTAACATGATTTGCTATATAAATAGCCACACCACCACGAATTTTCACATCCCTACAGAAACTAGATACAGATCTAAAACCAGAGATATGATAATAGTATTTCTTAACAAGTGTTCATTTACAGAGAGCATTGTATATTTATTCTTTTCACACAGTGATTCGATGATTCCTGACTTACAGCGAACACCTTGGATATTTAGATGTAGTAGTCTAAAGAGCATGTTACTGTTTTTTACTGTTTTAACAGATCGTGGTTTTGGTATTGTATTATTCTGTTGTTTATCTTCCCTAATGAGTGATTTACTTAAGAAAAAACTGTTTTTCAGACTTGTCGGGGATGTTGATTTGTACAGTTTTCAAAGGCAATACATTTTTTAATTGTTCAAAAATAATATCCTTTACATGCTGGATGATTGTCGTTTTTGATCCCGTAGCTCTGATGTCATAGAATAGGCTCAAAGAATAGTTTCTATTTAGTTTCCTGAGTCTATCGACTTTAGTATTAATTATATTTCTAAGATGATAGTCGGCAGATGTGGTCAATTCGCATAAAAAAATAAGATTGTTTACTCGACCGAGAGGTAAGAGGCAATGTAAACCTTTGTTTAAGGATGCGGTGTTACTTATATTGTTAGAGTTGATCATGAAGATTACAAAATCGTTCTCACCAAGAGATTTTGTGATGTTAAATACGTTTTTTGTGATATCTACAAACTCTAAATTGGGATAAACGTGAGCTTTTATGGAGAACTTTGTCATGTCGGTGTATAATTCTAACACTTTTCTGAAACTTTTTGCATATTCGTCACCAATTATAATGATTTTCCGACAGCTGTCTGAGGCATTACGTTTCGGTGATCCACCTGATGGTACTATATCGATTATTGGTGCATCATCGAATTCTTGGAGTTTGTCTTGCAGATTCTGCTGCTACTTCGCCGTCTAACTGGGGTATGGGGGAAACGATGTACAGTGGGCAAAAGTCGACGCTGTTTGATGTACGTCGAATTCATGTTCTATCGGCTGGCTTTTACACATATCGTTTGTCTTCATTTGGAAACTTGTGGCCCTAATATCATTCGCAACTGGAGGTTCTTCCATCAGAAGTGAGGTTGTCAGTTCCTGAAGTGTACTGTTTTTTGAGGATAAATATGCTAGTTGTTGCTCTATATTTTGTATTTGACGCTTGTAAGTCTGGATCTCGTCGTTGTAATTTTTTTCAATTTCAATCACATCATCCTCAAAAGCCAATGAGCGTTTTTTCATAGAGGCAATATATTTATCCTTCTCTATAATCTTTTGTTGTAATTCTCTTATTATTTCTTTGGTAGTGTTATCCTTCTCCATTTCTTCTTCACCTTTTCCTTGACATGTCGTACTACAGTATATCATATGCTTGGCAATGACAATTACGTCATTTCGTTTGTTGCAGCAACTGCGATGAAAAATTTGTTTACATGTTATGCACACATAGTTGGATAGCTCTTTGGTTTTACAACATTCGAAATAATTCGGCATCTTCGTTTCTTGTATTGTATCGATAAGTAACGTTCAATGAAATATTGTACTGTGTCCTATTATTTGTGTCGGTTGGAAACTAGGTTTTATAGGAATATCACCTCGACTATATGTTTACTTTACGTACGTAATATCTGGTGTATGTATTGTTGGCAGTGGTTTTTGGGTTATAAAAAAAACTGTGTTCCTTCTGCTGTTACTCGATAACTAGATGTGCAGTCATACCTCTTCATACGAGAACTATTTACTTGAAGAGTCTGTAGTGTGTATGCATTCACTTTGTACATAAACTGTTCGAAAACACGAAATTTTTACACAACTTTTTACTATGTTTTCCAACAGAAAATTGACACACACGAGAAGTAGAAGAAACTCGACCTCGACCGCCGAAACACCAATGAAGGCGATTTGAGTTAACAGCTTAGTACCTTTTCCAATTTTGTAGGCAAATTTTCCAAATTTTCCCAGCAGCTAAGTTTTGCGTTGTCGTCCGTTATTGCCTTTTGTTTTTGCTGAAATGGACTGGCTTGGTTAGAATTTGTTTATTCTATTAACAACTGATTTAGAAGCACCCGTTCCGTCTGCAATTTGCCTTCGTGACTGACTTTTGTCACGGGAAAAAGTTTCAATCTGTTTTGTTTTTCTATGGGAGAAATAGCAGTCACGATCGATGCTGCAAGAGAAAAGATGCTTGAAGATTAAATTTAATAAAAATGTATGTTCGACAACAGGATAATAGTATACTAAGTGACATATAAATCCGAACACCCAGTTTAAATGGTTTTATTTTAATAAAATTTTGTATAAGTACTTAATGAAGCATAATAAGTAAATGATAAAAATTTCAAAATGATTGCACTGCTTTAAAGCCCTTTGACCTTTAATAATGTGTGGATGCACCCTGATGTGCTACGCATTCTCCAACGCGCCTAGGCATGCTTCTGATCAGGTGGCCAATGTCCTCCTGTGGTATGTCATTCCAGGCAACCACCAACTCCCCTCGAAGTGCTTCTAGAGTCTGAGGAGGACGTTGCAAATTGAGCAATCTCCTACCCATCATATCCCACACGTGCTCAATTGGGGATAAGTCGGGAGATCTTGGTGGCCATGGTAACAATGTGACATCATTATGTTGAAAGAAGTCTATTGTGACTCTTGCAATATGTGGTCGGGCATTATCTTGTTGGAAAGTTGGATCTGCCAGGGTGTCAAGATAGGGTAAAAGATGGGGTTCTAGAACTTCGTGGATATAACGCTGCGCGTTCATGTTACCTCTGATGAAGATTAAAGGTGACCTGGAACCATAAGCTATAGCACCCCAAACCATAACTCCAACAGTGTGATGAACATGTCTTTCAACAAAAAACTGTGGATTCCTCCTTTCACCACGTCGCCTTCTAACCCTGGCACGACCATCGTGCATGCCTAAACAAAATCGAGACTCGTCACTAAAAACAATACTGTTCCATTCCTGATCCCAGAGTGACCGTTGTCTGCACGACTCAAGGCGATTACGTCGGTGTTCTCGAGTTAAAGAGAGGACCCAGTGAGGCCGGTATGAAAACAAGCCAAAACTTCTCATTCGTCGGTAAACACTTCGCATGCCAATAGGTCTTCCGTGTTCTGCAAACCATTCATTAGCAATGGACCTGGTAGTGGAGAAACGGTCCCTTAAGGCCAATAATCTTAGGCGGAGATCTTCACGGTCTGTTGTTCTACGGCGGCGTCCAGTGCCCCTTGCTCTTTGCGTACGGCCTTCTCGAAGCCATGCCTGACAACACTTAACCACAGTGTCTACACTTCTTTGCACTCTAACTGCAATTGCCCGAAAGGAAAGTCCAGCTTCCCGAAGTCCCACTATACGGCCCCTATCAAACTCATTAAGTTGACGAAATCGTACAGGTCTCCGTACTCTAGGCATCGTAACCGATCGTAAAGGATATCAAGAACCAAAATCCGCCAACGTTGATTCTTTACTGCGGCTGAAATATTCATTTTTAGAGCGTTAGTGAATTAAAAAAAAGCATTATAAAAACCGGAATGTCCAACTGATAAGGCTGAACATTTTTTCATTTGTTATTTATACAGCAAGATAAATACATCCATCAACTTTTATTAAAATAAAACCATTTAAACTGGGTGTTCGGATTTATATGTCACTTACTATACTTAGATTTAAACTGCCTTTTTTTCAGTAAAATTATCTCAATAACTTTATTTATAATATTCACACTTTACTCCACTGATATGCGTCCGTAGTGATATAATACAAAAATTAATAAAAGCAAATACAGTGAAATCCCCTTCGCTGAGATTCTCTTGGACGGACGGACCCTGCTGAGGGTGTTACTATTGCATTTCTCAATCCTGTCGCGCGCCATCTTCGCTGGGATTTTGTCGAGTAAATCGGTGATTCACCGATAATCTTTCTGTAAAAACGCAGCCTATGTGGTGCATTTCTGCCCGGCGTGAATTGACTTCCAAGAGTTGGTCGGGGATTTACCGTTCTTATTTTTTGGTTACACTTTGTCGATTCCATTCAGTATTGTTCTAACATCTAAGCGGAAAAATCACAGTGGGCGACACATTCATTGTAGATACGGTTCCATATAAAAAATGCTGACGCTTAAACAAAAGATTGATATTTTTGAAGTTCACAATAAGGGGAAGTTATGTGTAAGGAACTTATCCAAGCGTTTTCATATTGGAAAAATACAAGCTGCAGATATAATTAAACATTAAGAAATCCTTCTCAAGAAATGGAAGCCGAGCAACAATTTGAATGAAAAGAAGCTTATTGTCGGGCGATGGTTCTAAACTCGACAAATTGTGTTATGGCCGGTTTATAGCAACTCGTCGTAAGGGGATTCTTTTGTCGGGGCTGTACGAATATTGTTATTTTTTGTATAAGGTTTTTTGCATTAATGCATTCATATGAATTCTAAAATAAATAAAAAGGGTGAGATTATCATTAGGTTTGGCGTGACAAAAATACATAAAACTTCTTTTTATAGGTCCGCTAATACGATGCAAAGCAAGAGACATAGTCGATTCTCTGGAACATTCTACATCCAGTGCTTGTTCTGGTTGGCCCAATAAATTTAGCCACAATATAAGGTTTAAAGCGATTTTGGGAGAAGCAGCTTCGGTTGATGCTGAAGATGTTTTATCGTTTTTCGAAAAAAATCATTCCTTGACTATGGGTTATTCACCGAGAGACATCTATAATGACGATGAGACCGGCCTGTATTTTAAGGCTGTACCCGACAAAACGCTCACATTAAAGAAGGTAAAATGTGTTGGGGGTAAGTATCCCAAGAGAAATTTACAATTTTGCACTGTGTAAATATGGCGGGTGAAAAAGAAAAACTCCTAGTCTCTCGTAAGGCAGCTGAACCCAGAGCTTTTGAAAGCAGCAACATAAGTGAGCTGCCTGTAACTTGGAAATGCAATAAGAAAGTTTGGATGACAACACACATTATGACTGATAGGCCTAGATTGGAAAATGTCTGAAGAGACATTTTGTTATTTTTAGATTCCCTTAAATAATATAAAAATCTTATTTTGCCCCCTAATTGTACATCAGCTTGTCAACGACTTGACTAAGCGATTATAAAGAGATTAACTCATTACCGAAGTGTAATAATCAAACACCTGCTAGTAAACATTGAAACTGCTGTACAGCGTTTGAGTTAATATAGAAAACTACCTCACTGGATGCAGTTTATTTGGGACCAAGTAACCAAAGACACAGTGCAAAATTTCTTCCACAAAGCAAGATTTAAGCATGAAAATATGTAAAGTGAAGTGAAGTGAAGACCAGTTGGATGAGGCTGATACACCTGACACAGAAGATGACTCACCACTTGATGTTCTTTCAGATATTTTCAAAAATAAGAATTTATTGGAATTGATAATGAAAGAATTTTTGATTTTTGAACCTATATCAAAGCTTGTATGTTGAAGATCCAGATTCAGGCCAAGAAACTGAAAATAGCGAGGGAACACGTGTGCATGCAGCATGCACACATTCTGACCCCGCCTACGAGATCCGGCGGGTGTTACGTCCGCGTACGACAGAGACCGTCTACCACCTACGGACAATCACAACATCCATAGTAACGAGACAAATTTCTCTTGGGACGGTATTCGTTCCTTCCTTTGTATGAGTCGAGATTTACTAATGTTTATGCCACTGGTGTTGCCTGGGGCCTGATCCACCCAAATTTGCGCATGTATTGGTTTCTTAGAAGATACAATATTTTTTTCGGCTTCGAAACTGTAACACCCGGATTTAGATAAGGGAGCGAAAAATTAAAACTCTAGCTATAATAGTTGTAGAGGTGCCAGTTGTCAACATTGAAAGTTTCTTTTTGGATAGATTGTCCAATATCTCAAACATTTTATATGTTCAAATTGATTAATTTGAAATGAGCTGTCCAAATCTGAAATAAAATGTAGGGATTCCTATTTAAAAAAAAATCTGCTTGGGTCACCACGTAGTTATGAATCACCCTGTCGAAATAAAGGTATTTTTCAGGCCAGGAAAATACTATTGGTTATCATTTTTGTAGTTAACTTTTTTAAATACAATGCTTAACAACAGAGCTACCAACCTAGCCCACACCAAAGCTCACCCTGTATATATCACTCAGCTTTCAAAAAATTTCAACGTCAAAGCTTTATATTTCTGAGAATCTGATCAGTGCCGATGGAGTAATTTCCATCAGTAAACTGGCATCGAGATAAACCTTTGATAACCAACAATAAACGGAAACTCCAGTTCCGTCATGTAATAAGGGGTGAACGGTATGTGATACTCTACCTACCTTATTAACAATGGCGTACAATAATTCCTTTCAATTCATAACCCGATTATATCTCTTAGCAGCTGCTGGAATTAACGAGACATGCCATAAAATAGCCTATATAACTCAAAACCTCTTGCACGCCCATGTGATTGACGATTCACTGGGGCGTTACCCTTATTGGTACTTCGACAACTTTTATAATCGTCGCCACCGAAATCGGGGGATTTAGGAATGAGGTAAGAAGTGAAGTGTGAATTCGAACGGGGAATCTGCCTACCTTCCTCC